AGAGTGTTGGACTGGATGGGCCACTGGTCTGATCCAACATGGCTTCTCTTATGTTCTTATGTCTGGCGCAGTGATGCTCTGCATTCTTGGTGCTTGGGGGGCAAGGGGGGGAGGGCTCCTGGAGTTTTGGCCCTGCTGGTGGACCTCCTGAGGGCACCTGGGTTTTGTCCAGTGTTTCCTCTAAGTGCAAGGTAGCTAACAGTTTTTTAGCCTCTGGCTCATACCTTTTTGTCTTAATTCAGGAAAGATGCCTCCAGAGCAAACTAATTTATGCACTAGCCAAATTGCTCACTCATAGCTTTAATGTCAGTTGCTCACAAAGGAGCATCCCGGGATGTGATATCAGAGTCATGTGACAGGAAGAGGGGGAGCTGGACCATAACCAACAGACCGAAAGAGCCAAGGACAAGAAACAAAAACCAGTCATCAAGAGGTTCCGGTGATGTCAGGGGGTGTGGCCTTATGACACACTTCCGGTGATGTCAGGGGGTCGGGCCTTATGATACACTTCCAGTGATGTCAGGGGTGTGGCATATGCTAATGAGTTATGCTAATGAGCTCCGGCAGCTCTTTTTCTACAAAAAGACCCCTGGTTCCATTTCACAACAGAAATTACTTAGTCAAGGGCAATCAACCATTCTGTATAGTGCCATTCAGCATCTTCAAAAAACTAATCTTTATACCTTGCACTTTAATACAGGTACCACCAGATTCTTTCACTTATTGGTGAATTATTTCCTGCAAGCACTCTTAAAATCAGAGTGGTCCATTAAAAATAAGATTCACTGTATAATTCCAAATGAGATGATTGAAATTATGAATTATGATGTCTGCTAGTATGAAAATCGTATTGTTTAATTGTAGACGTCTGAATGAGAAGATAAAAAATAAGATAGTATCAACCTTCTTGGTTAAATTACAACCTGACATTCTGATGCTACAGGAAACTCATTTAAAGAAACAGAATGCATTGGTTTTTAAATCAAACTGGTTTTCCGAGCAATTTCTGGGTAATGGCTCTTCAAAATCCTGAGGCGTGGCTATACACTTTGCCTGTCAATCAAAGAAATAGATCCTGAAGGACAGTTTTTTTAAAAAAGATCTTTTGAACAGTTCAAAATACACTGTAGCAACTATATATGCCCCAAATGAGAGGCAGGAATGTTTTTTAAAAGATACCTTTTGCAAACTACCAACAATTTCAGGAAGGCCCTGTCATTTTGGGTGCTGATCTTAACAGTGTTATGGACCCATCTATCGATAGATCCTTAGCTCCTAGAAACATAGGTAATATACAAAACTTGAAAAATAAAACTACAGTGCTTCAGCAACCGCCTGCCCAAAATGACTTGTTGACATATGAAGACATCACAATCAAAATATTAGACTACACTTACTACTCTTCACACCACGACACATTTTCTAGAATTGACTATATTTTACTCTCCACCTCCCTTCTGCATAAAGCATTGCATCCTGAAATTGGTCTGCGAACCCACTCTGATCACGCATAGATTGAATGTTCCAAGAACACAAATCATGCAATTGGTGTTTGAAATTGTTTTTATTATTTAATCAAGATTTGCAAGTAGAAATAGAAAAAGAAATCAGATTTTATTTTGAGACTAATTCTGACTGTGGAGTCACAAGAAATAGTATAGGATGCTATGAAATCTGTTATTTGAGGCAAATTCATTAATTTGGCCTATAAACAAGATCAATTAAAAATCAATTATTAAACAAAACTCATTCTTTGGAGAAAAAACACAAGAAGTATGGCTCCAAAAATGTATGAACATTTACAACTTGAAAGGAAGAAACTGGAGGCCCTTGAGACATCACAAACCCCCAAAAACTTACTATTTCTTAAACAAATATTGGTTCCAATGTTTCAAATCCTTAAAACCTCTATCTTAGAAATTAAAGAAAGAAAAAGCCAAGAGAAATATAGATTATATAAAAGGCTCTGGAAATAAAGCCTCATCTTCTTTTAAAGTCATACTTCAAATATTCATACAATATTACAAAAACCTATACTACTCTGATAACCCAAACTTGACTGAAATACAACAATATTTGCAGTCTAACCATTTAGTTAAGACACTTTCAGATGAACACAAATCTTACATAGAATTTTCCATAACATCAGAGGAGATTCTCAAAGCTATAAGAATGTCTAAAACCAATAAAACCCCAGGACGTGACGACTTACCAGCCAAATTTTACAAGATATTTGCTAAGATATTACTTTCTCCCCTAACAGACATTTGTAAGTCTATCCTAGAGTCTGGAATACTTCCCCCGTCTTGGGGACAAGACAGAATAATAGTAATACCTAAACCTGACAAGGACCTCTCAAACCCTAAATCAAACCGTTCCATTTCTCTATTGAATAATGACTATAAACTATTCATGTCAGTTTTAACATCTAGATTGAACAACATAATTGGAGATTTTTTATTTATTTATTGGTTCAATTTTTACCCCGCACTCTCTGCAGCGCAGGCTCAGGGCATACATACATATAAATCAAAAAGGGTTTATATATAAAAGACACATTATTGACAACAAAAGAAAGACTCTGAATATTATCTATTATTGTAAAAAATATCTCAAAGATACTTGTGTTATGGCTTTCGATTTTGAAAAAGCTTTTGATAGTGTATCATATAACCTTTGTATCTGAAAGGTATTCTGGAGGGACCAAATTTAAAAACACTATAGACTATATTGATCGAGCCTTTAGCCAATATGATAAGATCCACAAATTCTATTGAAGGCATAAGCATTAATCACACTACTTATAAGATTAGCCTTTTGCAGACGATTTTGTCTTATAGATTTTTTTGATTTTTTTGGCCCCCCAGAGGGGATTTTTTATTGCATTTTTTAATAGACTACACAACTACAACGAAAAAATAGGGAGGGGTAACTACATCTAAGGAGAAAGGAAAGATAACCACAACTAACTAAAACCCCAAGTATAGGAGATCATAACAACAGCTTATATAAATGTCTTATAGGTTTCTAACCCGCAAAGTACTCTTCCAACCCTACAATCCATTCTTTCTGAATTTAAAAAGCATTCTGGTTTCGTTGTCAACCATTTAAAAACTGTCTTATATCCAGTAAACCTATTCCTACCCACACAAGCATTCATTAAATCTAATTATTCATATCAGTGGGTCACATCCAACTGGACTTACCTAATGGTTCCAATTCCATGGAATATAGATGACCTTTTCAAAGTCAATTTTTTGACCATGGCTCAATCCATCACCAATGTGTTGAAACAATGGACCACTGAAACCTTTTCATGGCTTGAGAGAATCAGTGTTCTTAAATAATTTATTTTTCCAAAATTCCTATACTTATTTAGAGCCCTCCCTATACCTATTCCTAAATCTGTCCTGACAAAATGGCAAAATATATTTACTCATTTTGTATGGGCACACAAATGGCCCAGAACCAAATCTGACAACATGCGTAGACCCAAACACTTTGGAGGCATGGCATGTCCTGATTTATCATTATATTATGATGTAACCCTCCTCTCTAACTTATTCACAACTTTAGATTCAAAAACTCAAATGGAATGAATGTCCATAGAAGAATCCAGCCAGCCTCCATTTTACTCCTCTGAAATGGTTTGGCTTAAGAAATCTGATAGCCCTGCTTACATTACAGAAAATGTATTCGTAAAAGCCTTGATGCGGACATGGGATCTAGAAGATAAAACCCATACTTCAATCCTTTGGTTTGAATATTTTCAATTAAAACATCTTTTAGAGTCCCCCTTACTTCAACAAAGTCTATCACAACCACATACAAAATTTGAAGCCCTGCTACTACAACATATTTGGGAAAATACTGGCCTTATTTCTAAAATCTTTTAGATCTTAATGGACCCAGATAACCTGGACTTACCTTCTTACACCAGATCTTGGCATTAAGATTGCAATATCACATTCACCAAAACACAGTGGGAATCCATATGGTCCTTTCAAGATGTGGTCTACGAAGTCTGTTAATATCCCGCAACAACACCACAAATTAATGACGTGATGGTATTTAACTCCTATGCAACTTCACCATATACACAACTGTTATTCTCCTTACTGTTGGGAAAATTGTGGTGAACAAGGTACGTTTAAACTTCTGGAAACAAGTGCTGAACCATATAAAGTCTCTTACATATGTAACAATACCTGAAAAAACAGAGGTAATATTGTTGAATTACTGGCAAGATGTTAACATACTGCCCTCTAGGAAAGCACTGATTTCTTTACTTATATCAGCTGCTAAAACAACAATAGCACATAAATGGAAAGATACAGGACCTCCACTAATTGATCAGTGGTATGCCAGAGTGTGGTACCACTTCATAATGGATAAAATTTCATCAGGTATCACACAATTAGGCCCACACTCGGCATACCAAGACTTTATTAGCAAATGGTGGCCAGTATTGGAACAACTGGATAGTAACCCTGTTAGTAGAAACTCTTTCAAATCGTATGACGGTTATGTATGACAGTGAATTCATGAGATTGTAGTATAAATGGTCAGATTGCGATTCAGTTTTAAGTACTTATCTTATATAATACATGATCTGTTGTACCACCTGAGAAACTTGGAACTATTGTTGTTGTTATAATTATTATACTATACAACTCTTTTATTGTTAATATTATATGCTGCTGTTATTGTTATTGAAAATAATAAAAATAAACAAAACCCCCCAACCTTCCCGTACTGCGTACTCTACAATGTTGCATTTACATATCTTCTGTATTTCACTGGGATGTATCTCAAAAGATTTACATTGCCTATTTCAAGGATATCTTTGCTTGTCAAGCTGCATTGAAACTAAATCTCTAGTGGATTTTCTCAGTATTATTTCTGTTCTCTTTTTGGGGAGGGCACCCTTCAAACTAAATACATATAATAATTATAGTTGAGCAAATGTTCAGTTTATTATTGTTTTCTAATTATTACAGGACCTGAAAACCCTTGGCTGGTGCAAGCATATATCTCTGCTGCAAAACATCCTTTTGCATGCGTTGTCGCTCAAGAAGTGTTTCAAATGGGCATTATCCCAGCAGAGACAGACTTCCGTATTTACAGGGACTTTGGGAACATTCCAGGTATGTTGTTGTACAGTGTTAGTAGCGCTGTTACTGGCTCACTGGTATTTATTTATTTCATTTATACCCTACCTTTCTCTGTAATGGGGACCCAAAGTAGGTTACATTACTGTGCCCTCCTCCATTTTATTCTCACAAGACCCCTGCAAAGTAAACCTAAGTAAAAACCGAAGTAAAAGACTGGCCCAAGGTCACCCAGCAGGCTTTCATGGGCAGAGTGGTGATTCGAATCTGGGTCTCCCACGTCTAGTCTGGCATTCCAACCACTATACATGCTACTAAGATTGTATTTGGACATCATGACAGATATCTGCCTGTGATGAATATGAACATTGGCTTGTGTCATATGCATGTTCCTTCCTCTCCTTCTCCTCCCCTCATGCATGGTACATTTTTTCAAAAAAAATATTGTTTTTGAAACCTTCAGTCAAACTCAGTTTTCTGTGATGTCTGAATGCAGGTGCTTCGGCATCAGAGAATTTGTCTCCTTTCCACAAACTGAAATCCTAAAGAAACGCAAATTTTAAATTTCTGTGTTAACTTGTAAGTTCCATAAAAATGCTCTGTTAGCATAACTTAAAAGTGATTTGGTCCTGTAAATAAATGTCATGACTGTTTTCATAGAAATGTTGATTCTGACTTTATTGTATTGATAGGAATAGACCTGGCTTTCATTGAAAATGGCTACATCTATCATACAAAGTATGACACAGCAGATCGAATTCTGACAGATTCTATTCAGAGAGCAGGTTGGTATGTAAGGTTTCATGCTACTATGATAGCTCAGAACCACAAGCACTGCCTTAATAACAACAAAGAATAACAACTGTGCCCAGCTGGGTGTGTGGTTAGATGGCTATTCATGAATGTCTGAAGTGTGGGGTCTAGTCTGGCCACTTCCTTCTGTTTAGGGATGGGACTGTTATTCAGTGGTAGAGAGTCTTGTTTGTATGCATGAGGTCGCAGGGTGAATCCCCATAAGTTCCAGCTAATAGGATGCAGTAGAAAGTGACCTGAAGGACCTCTGCCTGAGATCCTGGAGGGCCACTGCCAGTCAGAGTAGACTGTACTGAATTTGAAGGACTGATGCGGCATAAAGCAGCTATAAAGCAGCTTCTGTTAAAAGAAAAGAAAATTTGTGCAAAGAAAATCCTAATCTCATAGCTAATAAAATTGAATGAATTTGCCTCTTGTTCAGCTCACAATGTAGAGGTTGGGTAACTTGTTTAAATCACTTGTGGCAGCCTACAGATCTCACACATCCCACACTTTTAGTATCATTGTTGAGAACCCGGCCTCTTATCATTTTGTTGTTCTTGGCACTGATACTCAAATAAGGAGAGACTATTTTCCTTTATGCATTCGTTTTCTGTATCTGTAACTTGATGATAAATGAGATGAAGGTCACAGTCGGTTTTGTTAGAACCTTTAAAAGGTAACTTTGAGGTCTGTGGTGCCCAAATCTGTATGGGGCTGCACTGGAAGAGGAAAGGTAGCTTAATCCTTTAAACCTTGTATGATTTCACAGACCCCATCTCCCATGTATTGTAAAGGAGGGAAGATTAAAGCCCTATGCAGCTAAGGGAGTGTGGTTTCAATAGGAAAAATGTGTGGGTGTGGAGGGATAAGACTCCCTTTCTCTTCCCTGAATTGCACTTCTTAAATTTAGCTTTTAAAGATGCAGGGGAAATCTAGTCATGGTCTTATTTGCTTCATCCTTAAAGAGAGCAATGGGTGTGGCAGTGCTTTAGGGTTTGATTTGCAATGTGCTTACAGTAGTAAGAATGGTTAATAGGTCCTATTAACTGTTTAATTTATATCATGTTTGTATTTGAACAGTTTCAGATTCCTCACACAATCCAGAGTTTTTTCCTTAAGATTTACTTTGCAATAACATGTACTTGGTAAAATTTTAATGTGAAGAGATTGAAGAGAAAGTCAAATACTAAATGTATGTCTGTATTTTTCTAAAGGAGACAATATCTTGGGTGTACTAAAATACTTAGCAAAATCAGATAACTTGGCCAAATCTTATGAATATCGACATGGAAATGTTGTCTTCTTTGATATCCTCGGTATGTTTGTTCTGGCTTACCCAGCTCGTGTTGGTGCCATTTTGAACTACGTCATCACAGCACTGGCTGTTCTTTATCTAGGGAAAAAAACATTACAGCTCAGAAAGAGAGGTAAGTCCAGGTCTGTATACAGCTTTCTGTCAAAGTGGGTCTGATTAGATTTTGGTTCCTTGTTTTTTTTTGTTTTGTTTTTTTAATTAGATTCTTTATTTCATTTTTTTTGACTTGCCAAAATTGAGCAGTTTATTTTTTTTTAAGTTACATAAAAAAGAGCCATACATTTTAAAATAGATAGCCAAATATCTCGCTCACATCGTCATGTTTGCATACACATTGCATACACATTCCCCCCCCCCCTTATTTTAATGTGTATTCAGTAACAAACACTATTAAACCAAGGATATATTCCCGGTATAAAACTAATTCATCTATATTCTATCTGCTATATTTCATTTTATCTATAATATACTATTATTAATCTATTTTATATCAATAAAAACAAAGAAGAAAAGAAACAGGCATAACTTAACAGTTTGACTATGCTAGTGAAGGCATATATTTCTTCTAAGTTAACAATCTGGTCCCTTTAAATATTCTTTCATATTTTTGACACTGTTAGTTTTCAAAATCCCATTAAGTTGCAGGCCTAAACATAATGTGTTATATTTTCCCCACAATCTCCACTAACAATGCCATATAGCTTTCACCTTATCCTGTAACATCTTGTCTTCTCTCTCAAAATAGTTAAATCCATGCACATTCTCTAAGTAAATAGCCCATTAATTATATTTTTCCCTGCAATTCCTCTCTAAAAATTCAAACTTTTCATCCTTCAGTTAGGACATTACAAGTACAGAGGGTAAATTATTTCAAATTAAAAGTCCATATTTTATAGCTTTCATTAGTCAGTCAAGACAGTGCAAAAATTGAAAATACTTTGCTTCAGGTTATATTCCTAAATCAATTGGATATCAAATAGCAATGTAAGTCAGGAGAAGAAACACAAACAAACAGTTCTC